TGTGGATAGGGCTGTAGGCAGGGTGTCTCCTGTGGCAGTGCGGGCAGTAGTGCTTGAAAGAACATGAGGTGAAGTTGCAGCTGGGTCACCTCGAGTGGTAGGCAAAGCAGTTTCCCAGGGGGAGCCCTGTGGCCCGGGCACTAGAGAGAGTGCGGTCTGCTGTTCGCCCCACGTCCTGCCACGTTGGCTGTGCTCCTTCCTGCGAGACTCGCTGCACCAAGCGAAATTCCAAGTCTAGTCTGTAAGCGAGGCAAGGGCAGCCCGACCTCTCCTTGTCCCACCTGAAAGCCTTGTCGTACCACATCCAGTCTCCTCTGAGGGATGCCTTCATGGTCTTCTTCACGTACCGGGTGTAGGTGAACAGCGCCTGGCCCTCAGCTGGGTGCTTCTCGAGGTAGATCGTCCCATGTATGTCGAAGCCGTGCGCCCACTGGTCTGGCGTCAGGGGCAGCAGCTTCTTACCAGTCGTCAGGGCATCAGGGGTGGGTGCAGGGCGCGTTTCAAAGTATCCTGCTTTATGTTCGTAGGCGAGCAACTCCCTGAAGTCCACATACTTATTTGCCCAGACCTTTTCCCAGAGGGCCTGAGGGACATGCTCGCCCAGGAGTGGGATGATGGAGCCCTGTGACGCCCGAAGCTGCCCCAGCCATGGACTAGTATGTGGGGGGGGGGACGTTCTATCTCTGTGGTACTCACCGTACGAGGACGGGCTGGAGGAGCTGGTGTGGCGCCTCGACGTATGTCCCCTGGACCGAGGGCGACGTTCGGTGGGGGAGGGAGGGGCGGCTGTGGCAGCCGTTGCAACGGCAGCCTCCGTATTTCCCATGCCCCAGTGGCTTGCATCGACGGATGGGCCCCGTGCCTGCGTGATGAGCGTCTGGAGCATCGCCCAGTCGTCGGCCGAAAAGTTTGGTGGCTGTGTCGCCGCACCACCCACAGCTTTGCCGGCAGGGCGCACCTTCGAGGTATGCTTGCCATCCATATCTGAGCCCCCCGAGGAGACCTCCGTGGAAAGGGAGGCAAAACGAGCGGGTTTCGCCCGTGCCCTGGCCGGCTCCGTCCTCGCACCAATGTGTTGTTGACCTTATGTCGACGCTGCCCGTGTCTTCTTCCTCGTTGCAGATGTTGTATGTTCCGGCTTCTCAGCACTGTGGAATTTAGCACTTATGTTAAGGAACATAAGCAACGGCAGGTAGGAAAGAGGATAAAGACAGAGCAGGGTGAAGGCGGGTTGCTGCCCCTGCAATAACATAACATACATAAATGAGAAATGGGGCAGGGCCAGAAAAATCCGGCAAACGAGAGAGCGCAGGAGCGCCCACATAGCCTAGACACACCCCCCAAGCCGGGCAGGGCGATTGGGGGGGGGCCAAAACCAAAGAAAACGACAGTCCCGAGGAGGGAGGGGGGAAGGCTGACACAGACTGGCAGGAGGCATCGCGTCCCGAGAAGACAAACACATCTTGCCAGACCGAAGGTGCCGGGAGGCAGGAATATGCCCCCCTACGCACTATGCGCCGTAAGCACACGCAAAAGCACCTTAAGGGCAACCCGTCCCTCCACCAACCTGTTAAGTAACAAAGACATGGGGGCAAGGCAACGAAGCACGACAAGGGGAAGAGGAAGATAACCGAAGTCGTAGTGGGAGGAAATGGCTGGAAATAACTTAAACGTAGGCTAGTTACGCAGGGAGAGCAATAGCAGTGACACCAAGGCAAACAACGTTGATTGAAGTGACGAACACGTAACATGACGGGGTTAAACAAACCAAACAACAACAGAGGCTTAATTCGAATTGGGAGGAAGCAATAAAACCTAGAAAAGCGAAGCCAGTGGCGTTAATAACTTGCTTACGATCGAACGCCACACAAGTACACCACTTTACTAAAGAAGAGAAACGAGAACTCAGAACAATAAAAGAAAAAAAGGGAGCATTTAAATAAAATTAATAAATAAAGGACATCACCGAACAGGTGCACCAGGAAAAGGCAGGGAAAGGAACAGAAACATTAAACATTTTAAAAATAGTAAATTTAAATAAAACGTCGCCGAACTGGTGCAAACTGGAATTGACAAGACAGCGTCAAAGCATGAGAAAATAACTTAGTTACTTATTTACCATAAATAATTGTTTATAACATATAATTTATAATATTTATAATATAGAATATTATAATAGTTATTAAAGTTTTTAAATAGATGTAATAAATAAAACAAGAAGGGGGCCGGGCCGGGGTAGCCCCGTCCCGAAGCACTGCAAAAATAGCACATAATAAATTAAAATAACTTAATTACTTATTGGCAATAAATAATAATTTAATATAATTCATAATTTAACATACCTATAATATATAATATTATAACAGTTAAACTTTAATCAATTTAATAAATAAAACATCACCAAACAGGTACAAACTGTAACTGACGACAGTAACGTCAAAGCATAAGTTAGAAATAACTGAGTAAAAGATAAAAGGGAAAAAGATTTCAACTGATGTGGGAATAATTAATATGATAATAACTTTAACCTTAACCCGCATTAACATAGCATGTATAACACAACCACCATTGGCCAAATAAATTTGCAAGGTAAGGGATTAACAGAACACCCTGTCCAAGAGTAAAGCTGCAAAAGAGGGGGGAGGAGGCAACCCCCTCCCGAATGCACTGCAATTTAATAGCCCACCTTCTGGTGGAACTCGTGCACCAGAACTTAACCTGCTGTGACAGCAGTACCTGGAAACATCCTCTGCAACACCGACTTCCGGAACCCCAACATTTTTTTTTTTTTTTTTAAGATATATACAAGAGTTGTTACATTCTTGTACAGCCACTAGTATACGTAGCATTTCGGGCAGGTCCCTGGAATACGATCCCCTGCCGCGAAGAATCGTTTTTTCATCCAAGTACACATTTTACTGTTGCGTTAAACAAAGGCTACAGTTAAAGAATTGCGCCCAGTAAAACCTCCCCAGCCAGGATACGAACCCATGACATAGCACTCGCGGAACGCCAGGCGAGTGTCTTACCACTACACCACGGAGACTGTGAGATCTGTGTCATCAATCAGTGGTAACATGGCTGGAACACATACTTCTAGAACCTTCCTACCTGGAATAGCAGCTGGAATGCCGACTGCTATGTGCTGGCGGCAGAGGCCCCGCAGCAGCAGCCAAACAGGGGGCAGCTGTACCGGCACTGTGATGTCGGAACCCGACGTTCTGTCCCCACTTCCTCTTGGACAGCGCCAGCTGGGACATCGGCTCATAACGTTACCGGCGAAGAAACTGCAGCTGTAGTCAGCGGCCGCCACACTTGCAGCGGCACCAATGGCTTGGACACCGGCGCAGAAGGCACAGCCGACGGCACCAGAGGGACGACAGCAGATGGAACATCCTCGACTAGAACGATGGCACCATAATGTGGGGCTTGCCCCTACAGAGGCTGCCAAGACAGCTTCTGCAGGAGCCCCCTGAGCCTTCAGGAAGCAGGAACAGCCTTAGGTGCACTACAAGCAGCTGTAGGACCCGCACATGGGCACGGACAGCTGACACTCCCAGAAAGGGACAACCAGCTGGGTCCCGAGCAGCTGTACCTACGCCAGCTGGGAGGACTCACGTAGGACGCCGCAGCCAGGCCTGACGCATCGGACTGAATGGCAAGACTGGCAGCGACTTCGTCGGCTGGAACCAGACTGTGTAGCACCTAGACAGCAGCAGCAACAGAGAAGGAGCAGCGGCTCAGACACTAGGCAGCCAGCTGTACCCTCTGTGACCGCCCCAAACAAGCATCAGCCGAAAACACAGCCATAGGCCGGGTCACCTCCTGAATAACAACGTCAGCTTAACTCATCACAGGGAGAGCGTCTGCTGATGTGAACGCAGCTGCAGAAACACCTACTGATAACTTTGCCGGCGTAACCCAACACAGAAAAGGCGTCGACTGGACAGGGAACACAGCGCCAGGGACACCTACCGTAAAACAGCGTCGGCTGGATTCAACACAGGAAGCCGTCGACTGGACAGGGAACACTGCGGCGAGAAAATTTACTGACTAACATCGTCAGCCTAACCCACCCCGCAAAGCTCGACGGCTGGACAGGGAATACTACGGCAGGGACCGTCGGCTGTACATCTACCTCTGAACTTAGGCAAGTAGGACGTCATTGGCGCGCCAACACCAGCAAAACCCGCACCGACTGGGGAGCGACAGCTGGCCAAGCCAGCAGGAAGATCCGGGCTACACCGGGAGACGGCATGTCTGGGGAACCTGGCCACTTAAACCTGCAATTTCTTCTGGGCTACACCGGGCAGACAAAGAGTCTGGTAAACTAGTGACCGAGGAGGTCGCCGGTCTTCCGGGCTACACAGGGCAGACCAACATTTGGAACATCACATCCAAGGATGCCACAGGACTACCGGGCTACACCAGGCAGACGAAGCATCTGGGAACAAGCAGCCGGGAAGCCGCATCTTCTTCCAGACTATACCGGGCAGGCAATCGCCTGGGAAACTAGTAACGAAGAGGCACCGACCTTCCGGGCTACACTGGGAAAACAGCGGCTGGGAGCCGTGCCTTCTTCTGGGAAACGGACATGCAGGAGCCAGCCCAGAGGCGTGAGGAAAGCCCCCCACATGTCCGCCATGCGTGGGCACGCCCAGCGCGGTACGAAGAACGGGCCAATTAAGCCCCACCCCGTGGAAAAACCGCACTGATAATCCACGTGGCTTAGCGCCCCAGAGAGGGCAAGATAGGCAGGAAGGAAGCGACCAGGCACAGCGCACACCGCCAAGGGCGGCAACCCTGGCACATGCCAGACACGGGCCGGACTAGGCCCGTCGACACAAGGCACATTAGAGACACCTGGGCACACCCTGGCCCCTAGGGCCACCCCCAAGGCAGGAAGAGCCACAGAGAGCCGACCGCCCCCACACGCAACGGGATCCCTAGGGACCCTCGGCCTAGATCCTAGGGACCCACACACGCCCACCCCAGGCCACATGGCCCATGGCCGGGGGTCCATGACCCCGAGGGACAATGGCAAGAGCGACAAGCCGCCAAGACATGGACATGTAGATGTCCCAATAACTGGGCGGTGGGCGCCCATTGCCCCCACGGTTCCTGGGGCCCTGGCAACCCAGGGCAAGAGCTCCACGGAGCGCCTTGCCACGTGGCTGACACCACTGGGAGGGCAGCGCCAGCCTGCGGGAAGAACGTGGAGCCGAGCGCCCCGCAGGGCGCAGGGCAGACTAAAGGGCCAAACCTAGCGAGCAGGCACGAAGTGGCTGTCTGCGAGGGGCCTCGCCACTGGACGGGGCGCCTGGCCGCTGGCATAGGGCAGCCTGGCGAGCGGGCCAAGGCCCCTAAGGACGACGCCAGGGGCAGCAGGCCCAACCTGGCCAGGAAGCCTACAATTCCTGATGGGGCACCTGGCCGCTGGCATAGGGCAGCCTGGCGAGCGGGCCAAGGCCCCTAAGGACGACGCCAGGGGCAGCAGGCCCAACCTGGCCAGGAAGCCTACAATTCCTGATGGGGCACCAACCCGTGGACGACGAGCCGGGCACTGACCATGGTGCGTGCAGGCTTGGGCCCCCTAGGGCGTGTCCCTAGGGACAGAGGACCACTGAAAACTGGCCACGTGGCGTCACCGCCAAGGGGCCGCTAGGCCGCTCACAGAGAGCCCCACTGGGCTCGCCACCTCACGCACATGTATGGGCGCGACAGAAACGAGAAGGCCACGCCAGCAGACCACATGTCTAGTGCCCAACGGGGCTGAGAACCCTAGGGAACTAGCTAGGGCGGCGCACACGGACTGCAAGGGGACAGCGCTGAGCACACGCCAAACACTGAGGACATCCCCTAACTGAACAGGGGGCCCCACACGCAGAGCATGGAGGAAAAACACGGACACCACTGTACCTTAGGACATGTTGAGTTGGGCAGGCCGCCCCTGGCAGGGCACCACTGATCCATTGGGACTTGATAATACTGTTTAGGCCAACTAAACCCACGATACCATCGACTGGTCCACGTGTCGTTGAGGTACGGTGCGGAGCGGGGCATTTCGTGTTAAGCAGTCCGTGGCGGGAACAAGAGTGAGGGCTGGACCCCTCTTCCAATGCTATTTATGTGCCTCCCTGTACTGCCCGCACTGCGCCTGCGGATTGCACTGTGCAAATGTCTCTTCTTTTTTTTCCCCCCATCAGAAACACCTCCGTTTTCCTACATAAAGCAGGGGCCATATTATGCTCATAATAAAATAATACTGAACAATAAGGTAATAATAAAAATAATAATAATAATATATATATATATATATATATATATATATATATATATATATATATATATATATATATATATATATATATATTTATACTGCATTATATATATATATATATATATATATATATATATATATATATATATATTTATACTGCATTATATATATATATATATATATATATATATATATATATATATTAGTATATTTTGGTAGCAGTCTTTCCTGTAGACATATATTATTAAATATGACCGAAAAAGTAAGATTAATAATTCTAACACGAATTTTCTCGATCTTTCGTACGTTTCTTTCCACTGTTGGTGGTAATTCAAAAATCAATTCTCCAAAATTCATTTTTATTTCTAGTCTGACGCGACACTTGCATGGCGTTTCACTTTCCTTCTTATGATGTCTTCGACGAAACCATTGGAGAAGCCGTTGTTGACTAGGACCTGCCTTACCCTACAGAGTTCTTCGTCGACTTGCTTCCATTCTGAGCTGTGGCTGAGAGCACAGTCGACATAAGCGTTAACAACACTCCTCTTGTACCTGTCTGGGCAGTCGCTGTTGGCATTTAGGCACATTCCTATGTTCGTTTCCTTAGTGTAGACTGCAGTGTGGAAACCTCCGCTCTTTTCCATGACTGTTACATCTAGAAAGGGCAGCGTCCCATCCTTTTCCATCTCGTAAGTGAAACACAGCACGGAACTCTGCTCAAATGCCTCCTTCAGCTCCTGCAGATGTCTGACATCAGGTACCTGTGTAAAAATGTCGTCAACATACCTGCAGTATATGGCCGGTTTCAAGTTCATGTCGACTAAGACTTTTTGCTCGATGGTACCCATGTAGAAGTTTGCAAACAGGACACCTAGGGGGGAACCCATGGCGACCCCATCTACTTGCTTATACATGTGCCCATCCAGGCTCAAGAAGGGTGCCTCTTTAGTACAAGCTTGGAGTAGTTTCCTCAGAATGTTTTCTGGTATGTCAAGAGGAGTACAGGCTGGATCACGATACACTCTGTCGATACAGCTCAGAATGGAAGCAAGTCGACGAAGAACTCTGTAGGGTAAGGCAGGTCCTAGTCAACAACGGCTTCTCCAATGGTTTCGTCGAAGACATCATAAGAAGGAAAGTGAAACGCCATGCAACCTCTGAAGAGACAACTAACACAACACCTATACCCCCTATTAGACTATTTTACAGGAACTTCTTTTCCACAGCTCATAAAACGGAGGAAAGGGTCCTGAAAGATATTGTTAATAGAAACGTTATCCCTACAGACAAAAATCAGAGGATACAACTGACGATTTACTATAAAACCAGAAAAACGGCCAGCCTACTCATGAGAAACTCTCCAGACACAAAGCAGAACGCTTTAAAAGAGACCAACGTCGTCTATGCCTTCAAATGCCCTCTTGGGGACTGTAAGCTCCAAAAAAAACAGTATATAGGCAAGACAACAACATCTCTTTCTAGGCGTTTAACGATGCATAAGCAACAGGGCTCCATTAAGGAACATATAATCTCTTCCCACAACCAAACCATCGCCAGAGAAATCCTAGTAAACAACACAGAAATCATCGATAGATACAGCGATAGCCGGCGGTTTGACGTCTGCGAGGCTCTACACATCAAGAAGTCAACACCAGCAATCAACAGCCAATTAATGCACAACTATATTCTACCCATCTCAAGACTCCGCTCCAATATAGAAGCATCAAGAAATATGGACCAAGAGGCTTATTTCTACAAATCACTTCCATTCAATACCCATTGTTTCGTGTTCTGTCTTGTGTTTAGGAATTTAATACCCTATTAATATCACCTCACCCCATCCACCTCACTCAAATGTAGATATAAACAAATCGAAGATGTGTAAGTTCTATTCAGTTGTGTATGTGTAAGCTAAAGTCTTTGAAAATGTAATAAGTTTTACGAAACGTGCTCAAGTGTCGCGTCAGACTAGAAATAAAAATGAATTTTGGAGAATTGATTTTTGAATTACCACCAACAGTGAAAAGAAACGTACGAAAGATTGAGAAAATTCGTGTTAGAATTATTAATCTTACTTTTTCGGTCATATTTAATTATATATATAATTAAGGGCACCAAAAGCACCAAGTCTGGTGCCCTTGAGGAGATACCAACTTTAATCTACAAAAAAGCCTCCAGATCTTTAGCCCCTGCTATTGCTTTGCTCTTCAACAAGTCACTTGAACTCCAAACCTTTCCAGATATTCTAAAAAAAAGTGAGAGTAACGCCTGTCCACAAATGTGGTGATCTCACAGATGTTAACAACTACAGACCTATATCAATCCTGCCAAACTTGTCAAAAATTTTTGAAAAACTAATCTATAAGCAGCTTTACTCATATCTAGCCAAACTCAATATACTTAGCCCTTGCCAATATGGCTTCAGGCCCAAAAAAAGCACTAACGATGCACTTATTAGTATGCTTAACTCGATTCATACAGCTCTTGATAAAAATGAGTTCCCTGTTGGGTTATTTGTGGACCTGCGTAAAGCTTTCGATACTGTCAACCACCAAAACCTTCTTAAATTACATCATGATGGTGTCAGAGGACACTCCCTACAATACCTCAAATCCTACCTTACTGACAGGCTCCAATGTGTTTCTGTGAATAATACAATTTCTTCCACCCTACCCATCAACATTGGTGTTCCCCAGGGCAGCATACTTGGCCCTCTCCTCTTTCTCATCTACATTAATGACCTTCCAAATGCCTCCCAACACCTCAAACCAATTCTATTTGCTGACGACACAACCTTCATTTACTCCAGTCCTGATCCCCTTGCTCTAAATGCCACAGTAAATACTGAGCTAAATAAAGTCCATCTGTGGCTAACTGCCAACAAACTCACCCTTAACATTGACAAAACTTTCTATATTCTGTTTGGCAATAAATCCTCTAATCAAATAAATCTCAAAATAAACAATACCCAAATTTGTAACAAATTAGATGGCAAATTCCTTGGCATTCTCATTGACCACAAGCTGAATTTCCAGGGACACATTCTAAACATATCAAAAAAAGTTTCAAAAACTGTGGGCATTCTTTCTAAGATCAGATATTATGTACCACGCCCTGCCCTGGTGACTCTCTATTACTCCCTTATCTATCCATATCTCAACTATGGTATTTGTGCTTAGGGCTCTACTACCCAAAATCACTTACGTCCTCTAATTACTCAACACAAAGCTGCTATTAGGACAATATCCAATTCTGGCCCCAGACATCACTCGGTACCCCTACTCAAATCTCTGAATATGTTAGACATTAAGTCACTGCACATTCTCTCATGTGTATTATACATATATAAAACGCTAAACTATAATGCCAATCCTGATCTCAAAAGCTTCATAGAAGGTTGTAACAGAACCCATGAGCACCACACCAGAAATAAATACAGTTTTGATATTCCTAGAGTACGACTTAATCAAACCAGAAATGCTCTACAAATCAAGGGGCCCAGAATGTGGAATGACCTTCCCAACCATGTTAAAGACTGTACCTCTCTCAACCAGTTTAAGTTAAAAACGAAGCTATACCTAATAAATTCCCTGTAACCTACCTTTCCCCTCTATTGTCAACCCATGTATGTTTTTTGTTTTTTTTTGTTTTTCAAATCAACGCTGTTTGAATGTAATTTTCTGTAATAATTTGTAATTGTATTTGTGCTGCTTTTTCAACAATGTTCCCCTCTCTTTTACCTCTATTTTTATTTGTACTCAACGCATTTTTTTCTTTTTACCCATTAGTTTTAAGCTTTAGTCATTAGTGTTTTTTCCTGCCCGAAACGCTTTGCGTAATTAGTGGCTTTAGGCATTGTATG